TTTTTAAAGACAACAATTAGGAATGCAAGTGTAAAATTATCCACATTGGTGTTGACTGATAGAAATAAAACAATAAAATCCATTAGAGGATAACTGAGAGACATATAGTCTCTAATGATTTGGCTTTAGAAAAACTGAAAGTGCAGAAATTGAGATATTGGCGCCTATTTATCTTAAGTCAGCGACAATTCTACTAGTTTTTAAAGTCCTTAAACATATCCTGAGAAATTCAAAGGGCTATAAATAAAAATATATATGAATAGATACATAAATTAGAATATATACATATATTACACACATATATTCTTAATTTGATATTATCTGCATTTTGGAAGAGGGAACTGGGATGCAAATTAACTAGTCTGTGAATCATTCAAGCATCTTTTAAAAAGCAATAATAATGCAGCACATAATGTGTGGAAAATTGTTCATAATAGATCCTGCGTATTGGACATTCCTTATTATATGTGACTACACATAACCACTATATACCACAGCAGCTCTATTGCAATGTTGGAATCCTCTGTGTCATTTGCTAATGTACTATGGAGCCTTTATTGTCACCCATGTTAAAGAATTTGATGAAGGCCGGGCATGGTGGCTCATGCCTGTAATCCCAGCACTTTGGGAGGCCAAGGTGGGCAGATCACGAAGTCAGGAGATTGAGACCATCCTGACTAACATGGTGAAACCCCGTCTCTACTAAAAATGCAAAAATTAGCTGGGCTTGGTGGTGCATGCCTGTAATCCCAGCTACTCAGGAGACTGAGGCAGGAGAATCACTTGAACCCAGAAGGCGGAGGTTGCAGTGAGCCGAGATTGGGTCATTGCACTCCAGCTCAGGTAACAAGAGCCGAACTCCATATCAAAAAAAAAAAAAAAAAAAAGAATATGATGAAAAAATGTAATCCAAGTTTATTGACTTTGGTACCCTAAATGATGATTTCAGGCTAACCCAAGATAATATCAGAAGGTCCCCATTGAGAGAATGAAAATGAGATAATGCCAAGATGCTGGTTAGTTTTGACAAAAAAAATCATCTGTGTACTGCACTTAATTGACTATGCCAGCACTTCCCAAAAACACTGTTTCTCAGATACTTCAGATATTTCAGGAAGATGTTGATACGCATTTAGGTGGCGTGGAGAATATTGACCTCTGGCGCATGACCAAATTCATGTTGCAAACCATAAGCTACCTGTCATTTAACTTGGACTTTCCTCAAAACTGAACAGTGTATATGGATTTTAAGAAAGGGAATTAGATACACGCTTATTCAATATTGTTTAACATAAATTATCATACAACATATTACCCAATTTACAGCATAATTTATTTTAATTGAGATGGAGTCTTGCTTTGTCATTCAGGTTGGAGCGAATCGCAGTGATCTGGCTCAATGCAAGCCTCTGGCCTCTCAGTTTAGAATTCTCCTGCCTCAGGCCTCCCAAGGTAAGCTGGGATTACAGGCTACCGCCACCAAGCCTGGTTAATTTGTATTGTTAGTAGAGATGGGTTTCACATGCCATAAACTTTCAACATCTTTGTGTTGTTCTATGTCTACTCGGATCCTTCTTTCCTGTAAATCATTTCTAAACTTCCTTTGCTGGTTTCTGCCTTTCCTGCAGTAAACTCAAACATTTCTGTGACTGGAAACCAGCAACTTTCTGCGCAGGACTTTAAATTGAAATCATACCAGAATTCCACACTGGAAGTGTTATTAGTGTCCGGCGAAGAAAGTTTCACTGGAATGGTCAACAGCACCTCAATCTCATACAACTCATTATATGTCACCTAAAAACGCTTCTAGAGACTTTGTGTTGACCAAGGACTCATAGCTAATTCTGGAGCTCTAAAAATCAGCATAATAAAAAACTATCTGAATAAATTTTAGCATAGCAAAATTAAAACCCTGCAGTATCTGACTTCCTCCTATCTCCCATCTCACAGCATCTTTCCAAAAATTTATTCCTCTACCGAACACGCTTTCTTTCTTTGAAATTTTTATGCTATTTTTCTCATGTGTGCAAATATTGTTCAGACTGAATTCTCTATATTTTCTATATTTTTCCACATATTAAATTTCTTCCCTCTTTTTGTTTTTTTGTTTGTGTTTTTTTTAGACAGACCTTCAGTTCTGTTGCCAGGCTGGAGTGGCAATGCATGACTCGGCTCAGTGCAACCTCCGCCTCCCGGGTTCCAAGCCCCTCTCCTGCATCAGCCTCCTGAGTAGCTGGGATTACAGGCAGTCCACCATGATCCACCATGATCGGCTAATTTTTGTATTTTTAGTCAGATGGGGTTCACCCAATGTGGCCAGGCCGCTCTTAAACTCCTGGCCTCAAGTGATCTCCCACCTCCACCCTCCCAAAGTACTGGGATTAAATTTCTTCATGGTCAATTCATATGCAAAAAAAAATGGCTCTCCCAATTGAATTAATAATGTCTTCCCCTGAGCTTCCATTTGCCTGAATTTTTATTAAAGTATACATTTTATTCTTCATTATATATCTTGAATTATAGATAGTTTGATCTATCTGTCTTCCCTACCAGACAGAGAGTGCTTGGGGGTAGGAATTCTATTACTCATTTTTGTATCACCATAGTGTCTAGCACAATGCTTTTTTCAGGGAAAACACAGGATAAATGTATACTTGATTAGGAATTTTGATGAAGGAGAGAGTAAATATTCCACTATACTCAGATCATATGTATAATATAGTGATATAGAGACTGCATATGTACATATGTGTTTAGAAATAAACTTGTCTAAACCTGTGAAATTTGACAGCCTTTTTTTGTTTATACTAATTGGTGTGAAATTGCTATATTTGCTTACTCTAAATGACAGTTATTTACTCCTTGTAAGTTACAGTTGATTTAACCTTAACTTGTAGTATGGAATTATAGATGTGTGAAATTCAGATTTATTTTTAATGCCATTATAATTTATAAGTGGGCAATTATTATTTTCTAAGAGGTATAACCACATATATAGCCAACTCATTATAATCATTGACTTTACGTATAAAAATAATAAAATATTTTCTACCTATTTTAGACACTTTTCAATCACCTTCACCCTGGAAATAGATAACTTTGCCTTATACTAGAAAAAAATGAGTGAGAACTAAACAATGATGTGGCTATAATAAAGAAAATATCATGAAACTAAAGCAACACCCAACTTCTATTTAGTTTTAAGTTGAGTAGATATTCTTCAATTTTGTGCCAAAATATTTTTCCTGATTTTTCCCTAAAATAATTTAAGTGATGAACTTTATTAAGGAATGAAAAAAATAAAAAGTATTGCCATGGGTATTCAAATCACCCGGTTTTATTTAGGAAGGCATTTTATTCATGACTTTTGTCAAATGGAAAATAAAATGGCTAAATCAAAAAAATTACGACAGCATATTTCATTAAATCTTGGAATTAGCATGATCCATTAGCTACTGCATCAGATTCAGAATGTCTGATGCCAAAGTATTGAATAGAACAATATCCCTCAATAAACATACTACACATCTTGGGAGTTAGAAAATAACAAATTTTATATCTCATTCCATAAAGAACTGCAAACTGCTTAACTTATCTTTGCTTCAGTTTCTTTGCATTGAAAAAAAAAAGAATCTCCACTATAGCTGCCTCTTCCTCTATGGAAGCTGTGGAGATAAGTAACACTGAGCAAACGAATTTAAATTCTGCAAAATAAGTACATAAACATTTCTAATATTATATCTGCATAATCTGCATGTCTAGAGCTCTTGGAGTTTCCCTAGAACTTGGTCAAAGTTTAACATACAGCAATAATCACTATTTCATTATTATTTTACATTTGAAAAATCTAAGTATCAAAAAGCCATTTATCAAAGATGGTGCAACTAAATGAGTCAGGAGTAGAAAGAGTAGAATCAGAATGACTAACCCAATTTCTAATCACAATAAATTTCACACTTATTAATATTAACCTGAAAAGATGATACAAAAAAATGTACTTTAAGACATATAAGGGCAGATGTAAATATACATGAACCATGTGAAAGTGATAAAATGTCTTCCTGAAAGTGACCAAGGAAACAATAACCTCTCTTCATCAAACACACAGACATCTGAAGGTCACACTGACATCCACATCAAATAGACAGCCTGGCCCAAACTTGGCTCACCTCACTCAACTTCTCTTTTCATCATTGTTTTCTTCTTCTTCTACCCTGTCTTTGTTATTTTTAATGAACTACAGAAATAGGCTAGTTTTCTCAGTGGATATGGGGTCCTACATATGTATCAAGGTAGACATTAAAGGTCCACTCTTCCCCAGGAGGAATCCCTGAAGTGTTCTAACCAGTGACTGCCTTTCAGCAAGCAGTATGCAACAGAGCAAGAAACATGCTGGGTTCTATGCAAGTGCCTCTGGAAATCACAGCTCTTCAAAGGGAGATTCTACTTTAACTGATCACACCTTTCAAAGATACCTTATAATTTTTTCTATCTTTAATGTCACATAGAAGGCTTATGACTTTTTTATCTTATTTTGTTTCACCAGAAACCACCTATTATATAAAGAACACTTTCTATTAATTTCTTATAACATAATACATATACATAGAAAATAAAAATAAAAAGTATATACTGTATACAAACGTGTACACACATACACATACATATACATGTTGTAAACAGACACATATATACTTATGCATACATATATACACACATATATATGAATGTTTGTGTGTGTATGTGTATGTGCATGTGTACCTCCCCCAGAAGAATGATGTAAATATGTAAATGGAAAGTATTTATGGCAAGCAGACTCAAGATGGCCCCCAGTGACTCCCAACTTGTGGCATTTATATCCTTGTGCAATCATCTTCCCTTCAATATGGGTTGGCCTAGGAATTTGCTGCTAACCCATATGGAAAAGGTGATTGAATACGACTTCCATGATTAGTCTAGATAAGATTGTAATTTCTGTCTTCCTGTTTCTCTCTCATTAGGTTTAATGAAGCCAGCTGTCATGTTCATAGGACGCATATGTCAAGGAACTAAAGATGGTCCATAGCCAACAGCCAACCAGGAACTGATTGACTAGTAGTCCTCGAGGAACTGAATCTCACTAACAACCATATAATGAACTTAAAAATAGTGCTTCCTCAGTTGAACTTTCAGATGAGACTGAAGTCCTAGTTAACACTTTGTTTGCTGCCTCGTAAGATTGCGAAACAGAGGCCTGAGCTAAGCCATGGCCAGATTCTTGATCCACAGAAACTGTGAGATAATAAATGTGCATTGATTTAAGCCTCAAATGTTGTGGTAATGCTCTACAAAGCAATGCGTAACTAATGCAGTATTCAACAAATTTTTGGAAAAACTATGACGCCTGAAGACATGTATTTAATTATTTTTGTGAAGAATACTCAATTTATACTTACCGCACCTGGGTTTTTAGTCTTACCCCAATCATAAAGTAGTTTTATGACCTGGCAAAAATTTGTTTCTCTCCCTCTAGAGGTCACTTTCTTCATCTGTTAAACTAGGCAATTAATTTATGTGATCTTTAAAATGTCCACTAGATTTCATACATCTATCACATAAGATTTCATGTATATGTAATGAAAATAAATTATATATATGCAAAATGTGTTTTCATTTATATCTATGAAACAGGAGAAACAAAATAAAATTACTTTTATTTACTGTAATTTAATCTTGAAAGTAAATTCATGTTATCTTCTAAAAATGTTTCAATTTATAATTCATCCATATTAAATTTAATAAAATGATATTTGATTATCTAATGGAAGATTTATTGAAAATATATCTGCTTCAAATATCTCATTATTTTACATTTAGTAGATAATCAAACTAAATCTTAAAAATGCTTCTAAGTTTTACCTAAATGGGTAGTTTCTTAAAACTACCGAATTGAGGCTTCTAGCTGATCGCCTAAAATGTATATTAAAAAAAAAAAAAAAAGGAGAAGTTTAAATGTAGGGAATAGGATTAAATTACCAAATAAAATCCATTTTTTTCTAGTAATTGGCAGATAAATTTAATACAGAAAAACTTTGTTATTCAATATGCCAAAATATATAATATTAAAGTGATATACTAATGAATATATTTGGCATATTATTATGGTACTTTCAGTTCTCAAACTTTTAAAGTAAAAATATTGATCAAGATTTATGTATGACCACTTTTTTTTTTTTATTTAGACAGTCTCACTCTGTTGCCCAGGCCGGAGTGCAGTGGCGCTATCTCAACTCACTGCAACCTCTGCCTCCAGGTTTCAAGATATTCTCCTGTCTCAGCCTTCCAAGTAGCTGGGATTACAAGTGTGTGGCACCACACTTTGCCAATTTTTAAATTTTCACTAGAAACAGGGTTTCACCATTTTGGCCAGGCTGGTTTTGAACTCCTGACCTCAAGCGATTCACCTGCCTCAGCCTCCCAACATGCTGGGATTACAGGTGTGAGCCACTGTGCCCAGCCAATTCTTTCTTTTTGATACAAGAAAATAATTTACTGTGCAGAAACTGTCTATTTGTCTATTTTTGCTTTGGTTACCTATGCTTTTGAGGTCTTGCTCAAGAAATCTTTGCCCACACCAACATCCTAAAGCATTTCCCCAATGTTTTCTTCAAGTAGTTTCATAGTTTCAGGTCTTACATTTAAGTCTTTAATTCAGTTTGATTTGATTTTTGTATATGGTGAGAGATAGGGGTCTAGTTTCATTCTTCTGCATACTCAGTTTTCCTAGTACAATTTATAGAAGAGACTGTCCTTTCCTCAACATATGTTCCTGGTGCTCAGTGGCAAAATAGAATGACTATAGTTAACAATAATTTATTGTGTATTTCAAAATAACTAGAGAGTGAATTTGGAATGTTCCCAACTCAAAGAAATAATAAATGTTTGAAGTGATGGATATCCCAATTACCCTGATTTGATCATTAGATATTGTATGCTTGTATCAAAACATCACATGTACCCCATAAATATGTACAACTACTATGTACCTATAAATATTGAAAATAAAGAATTTTTTAAAAAGAAAATTCTGAATTTGAGTATTCTAAAATCAAATTCAAGGTATAATACTGGTGAAAAATTTTGAACCAAATATGTTATTTTAGTTTCTTTATTGTTGTGGTAACAAATTACAACAAACTTAGCCAATTAAAATAACACCCACTTATATTATCTTCCAGTTTTTATGATTCCAAAGTGTTGGCTCAGCAGGGCTCTACTGAATTCTCTGCTTAGGGCCCACAAAGCTGAAATCAAATTGTCACCCAGTCTTTGTGTTTTACTGGAGACTAGAGGAAAGAATTGGCTTTAATGCTTATTCAACATGGAGGCAGAATTCATTTTCTTCTCACGTTTTCAAGCCAGCCAATGGGCAAAAGTCTTCATACTTCAAATCTCTTTGTTGTCTCCTGAATCTCTCCACATTTAAAGACTCATGGTATGACATTGAACCCACCTGGATAATCCAGGATAACCTCCCTATTTTAGAACAATCTTCACTGCCTCTGCAATTTTTTTTTTTCCATGTAATATAACATAGCCACAGGGATGACACCAGGGGTGAATGAGGGTCATGGGGCTCAAAATTCTGTCTACCACATATGATGAAGCTCTTCATTTTCCTCTCACATTTTGAGATTCTCTAGTAAGTGTTCAGTTTAATTATTATTTTAGATATTAAATTTTAAATGTAAGATCAAATTAACTTTTTAATGTAAATAAAATGAGAAAAGTTTACAAATATCCAACTATCTGTTACTCAAAAATTAATCTTTCAAAGTAAAAAGAATTTAGTTATGGAAATAATAAATTGAAAAGTTACCTTTTGCCACTGTCTTTGTTTCTGGTTTTTCTTTTTTCTCAATTTTTTCCTTGTGAGTTGCTTAAACAGAAAATTTTACATTAGTACACAGTTTTAATAGATTTCAAAACCAAGCTTTCTTTTGACCTCAGCTTCATAAGTGCTAAAACCTAATATGTAATATTTTGAAAATTTATAACATTAATAAGTCTAATTCAGAAATAAAGAGTTACCAATGTAATAACAGTTGTATAGAATTCAATGTAAAAGTCTAGGCATTAAGATTTAGCTTTTTGAAAATCAGATCCACTCTTTTTCAAGTCATTATTGCAAATAGATAAAGCTTTCAGGGAAGACAAACTGAGAGGGAAAATTTTTTATAAGAATTTGTCAAAAAATATATCATTATGTTTATTTTTAAATTTCAATTAAATTGTGTCATTTGGTAGATTACCAAATAATCATACATTTTTTCAATATTTACATACTACCTTTTCAAGAATAATAATGGTAATTAAATAAACTGTGAAAATTAAGTAGTAAAATATGAGATTTAATTGGACAGTTGATAAAGTATATGTATTGAATTACTAGAGAAAAAATTAGTTCCACAGATTTCCATTTCTCCAACGTATAACAAGAATAGTAAGAATGTACATCAGCTTTACTTACATCATCAAGAAATGTTTAAAATATGTACTCAAAAATCTATTATTTTTAAATACAGTTGTTGAATAGTGTCCTCCAGAATCTTGGAGAGATGATTTAAGCCTTAGAAAGCCTAATGTTCAGTTGAAGACCAGTGTCCCTGACAGATGCAGAGTTGCTGAGAGCCCAATTGCCTCCTCCTCCAGAGTTTCAGCCTCTCCACCACTCAGGCCTGCCCACAGCCACCTCCACTACCACTTGGGATTATGCGTAATATATTAGACAATGTTAACAAAAGGAGCATTATGCTAGGCTAAGCAAGGCACTAGTCACATAAGGTCACAGGATTACATTATAATAACATATCTCCTAAAAAGTAAACATCTTTTAATTGGCATAAGGTAAATAAAAGAGCACTTACAATGTAGCATTTTATTTCTGCTTTTCAATTTGAATACATTTTTCTGCAGCACTTATAATTTAAGGGCAAAAATTCCTAACTTTTTTTTTTTAATAGAAAACATTTAGCTACTGTGAAGTTTGAAAAAAAAAATCACAAGGAATAGTAGATTATTTCATTAAGTCAGAATACACAGAACCTAGTGCTAATAATTCTGCTTAACCCAATAGCAGACAAGAAAAGGTCACCTATTTCTAGAACAGAGAAAGGAGATGGTTGTATTGAAGTTCATGGAAATTGAACATGAAGAAAACTTGATAAGAAAATAAGAAAATAAACATGAAGAAAACAACAACTATTTAATTGAAATTTTCTTTTTTTTTCTGTAGGTTATTGGGGTACAGGTGGTATTTGGTTACATGAGTAAGATTTTTAGCGGTGATTTGTGGGATTTTGGTATTTTTAAGTGTAAATATACCATAAAAAATATTGAAACGTATTTCAACTGATCTGATTCCTAAATGTCATAATGTGTTCTACCTAACTGGAGTGTTTAACAAAACAAAAACTTCAGCAGACTATGCATACTCTGGATGCATAAATCAGCTGAAATCTGGCCCGGTTATCCTAGACACAATCCACCGTAAAACAATGGCAAAAATTAAATTAGAATTTTACTTCACATCATACATTGAGATGGATTTTTGAGGAATTAACGTTCATTTAAAATAGGAAACAATCTTTTTTGGATGGGCACTGTGGTTCACACCTGTAATCCCAGCACTTTGGGAGGCTGAGGTGAGCAGATCACTTGAGGTCAGGAGTTCGAGAACAGCCTGGCCAACGTGGCAAAACCCCATTTCTAGTAAAAATACAAAAATTAGCCAGGTGTAGTGTGTAGTGGCACATGTCTGTAGTTCTAGCTACCAGAGCTGCTGAGGCATGAGAATCTCTTGAACCTTGGAGGCAGAGGTTCCAGTGAGCTGAGATTGCACCACTGAACCCCAGTCTGGGTGGCAGAGTGAGACTCTGTCTCAAAACAAACAAAAACAAAAACAAAAACAAAATCTTTTTTCAACTTGAGGAAAATATTAGTGGCTATTGAATTAATTATTGAATGAAGATTCAAAGCCAGAAACACCACAAGAAAATATCAGCATATCTAACCACCTAAAAATTCAAGAATCTAAACATATGCATACATGCATACACACATATATGAACTCACACATGTCCGTTCACAAAGACAGAAAGCATAAGATTAACTGTAAAACAAAGTCAGAAAAATATTTGAAAATAAGTTATAGACGAAGGGGTATACATACCCAAAACATACACACACACATACACACACACACACACGTATCATTTGGAGAAATGGGCAGTGAGTATGAACAGTTACACATGATATATACATCGCTAAAAACCATATTTGAATCTTTCAACTTATAAATAGTAAGAGGTTAAAAATACTTTGCAGAGACATGGATGAAGCTGGAAGCCATCATTCTCAGCAAACTAACACAGGAACAGAAAACCAAACACTGCATGTTCTCACTCATAAGTGGGAGTTAAACAAGGAGAACACATGGACTCGGGAGTAACATCACACAGTGGGGCTTGTCAGGGGGTTGGGGGCAAGGGGAGGGAGAGCATTAGGACAAATACCTAATGCATGCAGGGCTTAAAATCTAGGTGACAGGTTGATAGGTGCAGCAAACCATCATGGCATATGTACACCTATGTAACAAACCTGG